TGATCCGCAAGTCGTGCGCAGACTTCGCCGACTGGAAGGCCAAGAATTTCCGCGTTTTTGTCGATAAGAATCCCGACTATAAGGCGAGGGAAGGGTTCGTGAAGTCCCGGTCCCCGTCCAAAGTGTCCGGTATTTTTGAGACCCCTTCCCCTTCAAACAAATAGTAGCTATTGGTTCCTAATTAGTGTATATTTTATTGGTTTTTGTATTCATTTTGTAAACATTTAATAAAACATTGAATAAATGTATTGATTGAACGGCTAATGAGTGGGGCCGGAGCCGTCGAACTTGACGATCACGGATGTCATGTTATCCTTACCGATGGTGCCGTTGGCCGGCATCTCGAGGATGTGCCGAAATACACCCTCACAGGCGGCAGACAACCGTTTGGTGTTCTTGTCGGCGCCCAACAGTTTGATGAGATCCGTGTCCTCAGGGATAGCGCGCCAAACACCGGCCGACACGACTACCAACATGGCGTCGGTCGCGTTCACGGCCACCGACTTATAGGTTGGCTTTGCGGTGACCATCCGTTGGCTGTGGCCGCCGGGGCCGCGTTTGTAGCGCCGGTGGCCGAAGGCGCGCGAGAACGGCATCCGACCACTGATGTGGCCGTCGATCACTCGGCCGCCGGCGTTCACCACCCGTGCCTTCTCGGCCGCGTCGCTGGGCTTGTGGTCGTTGGTCAGGCGCTCCACCTGTCCGTTGCGGACGATGTAAGCCCGAGGGCTACCGATGTGTGCAATGAAGAGCTGGCCCTCTTTGATGAGTACTACGATGGCTGTGCATCCGCTGTCGACACCCGGCTCGGGTGACCCATGGATCGGGACATGGATGGATCCACGGTCTGTGTGCTTTTGGCGGATGGCGTTGAGGTACCGTCTGGCCGTCCCATCCGTCAGACGCTCGTCTAACGCCAGGAACGCCTCCTCGAAACCCCTCTCGTACTGCCCGCGCCGGTAGTTCCCATTCAATTTGATGATCTCTGGCAGGTGCTCAGCCGCGTACTCGGCCACTTCGGGCCCGTTATGTCCGTCGAACACAGCCCACAACGATGTGTTGCCGTCGAAGTGCGGGCGACACACATAGTAGTCCTCCATCAGGCGTTCCCATCCCTGGAGTCTGGATGCAGCGAACACCAGCCCTCCCGGCACTGATCCGTCCTCTGACACCGGTTTGTCGATCACTTGCTTCAGGTATTTCTCGCCCATATCGATGGCCTACTATTTACCGATGAGTGTGCTGTCTGTCTGTTGATATCAGTTGTGTTTAACTCTTCGACAAAGACTTGTTTGAAGTTTAAGTCTGAAACTGCTTTTATTGATAAAAGTAATCTGTAACTCAATTAAATTCAAATCATAAACTCTATTACTATAACAATGAAATGTCGAAACAATTGAGCACAAAATCAGTTGAATATCACAAGCGATATACAGTACTATTTTCACTGTGATACCAATAATACGGGTCTTGGGTCATTTGACCTAGAAGTCAATTGACCTAGAATCATTTGACCTACAATACATACAACGTTAAATATTTACAAAATTTAAATTTTGGACACGGGGGTGTGTTAGGGGTAACTCCTTGTAGAGTTAATGTATTTCTATGAGGATTTCGATGTTTTTGGACACAACCCATAACTTCTCGTAGAGTTAATGTATTTCTATAGGGATTTCGATGTTTTTGGACACCCCTTCTACCTCGTTGTAGAATTAATGTATTTCTATGGGCATTTCGATGTTTTTGGACACAACCCATAACTTCTCGTAGAGTTAATGTATTTCTATTGGGATTTCGATGTTTTTGGACATAACCCATAACTTCTCGTAACAATTTGATACCCGATTCTTGTGACAATTTTCCCAACAATGAAATGATCATAAAAATCACTAATTTTTTGTAATTTTAAGATCGTTTAATAAATAGCTTAATAGTATAATTTAATAACAAATTCATATAAAAGCTGTGAAAATATGTTACAAATAAATTATAGATATTTAAAGTACATTTAACTATAAGTACTGTATATAACAAATTGGACACAATTTTTATGTGCAAATCCTGAGAGAAAATTGATCATAAAATTAGTGATAAATTGTGAGTCAATTATAGCCATAAGTCTTGTCGATCGGCGGCCGTCTGGATATGCGGCGAGTTTACGATACACTTACAGTCCACAGGATAACAAGCCGTCACCTGATGGCCACTCGTGTCCACAATTTTGCACAACTCGTCGCTTATGGTGAACGGGAAGCCGAAGAACTTCATCGTCTGGTTTTGGTTGAGTCTATAGGTAACCAAATACCAGGCGCTGGCCCTCAGCCGCACCTCTTCTGGCGAATCAAAGGCCGACTCCGCTC